TTAGATATAGAGGTATGAGAACAACAACAGTAGAAGTCAGTAGTAGCTGTATATAAGATATAAATGGTAAAAACTATCTTAGAGATAGAGGGTTGAGAAACAAGAAGAGCAGATCAAAACCTGAATTTCACATTTTTCAGAAAGGAGGTTTTAAGCATAATGAAAATCTGAATATTTAACAACTGACAAAACACTAAAAGACTGAAGAGTAGATATGCTTCTATAAGCCCAAAACACAAAACATGACAAATATCAAACCATAACTACTGTCAAAAAGTCCTCTTAAGTAAAATATGGCATTTCACTAAAACAATAAAAACAAACCAATCTATCATCTGGTTTATCACTTCAATTGAACATGTTAGTATTGATAATATTACAACAGCAAATATTTAGATTCTTTAAAATATTGAAAGATATATTCAAGATTCAAGAACAGTTATAAGTTCAACACACAATTAGACATGGTTGTCACATCTTATAGGCATGTCTGAATTTTGAAAAACAGAAAATTATGCTTTTTATACAAGATTCCAATGCTTTTTTAGAACTTTTATGTTTTTGTGTTACCTTTTTAATAATTTTCTGTATTCATACTAAATCTGCACATTAAAAAAATGTGTAATGAAAACAAACCAATTATTGACTGGGCTAACTTGAGGAAACTTATTAGATTTTCCTTTCCCATATATTTCAAACACACAATATAGACTTCAGAGTTTCCTGACTTGCTGGTTGCCGGCTTGTATACGTTGACCTACAAGGTATAAAACAATAAATAACAAACCAGTTTTTAAAAGTTTGTTTGTTTGTTTGTAATTAAGCACAAAGCTACACAATGGACTATCTGTGCTCTGCCCACCATGAGTATGAAAACCCGGTTTCTAGCGTTGTAAGTCCGCAGACATACCGCTGTACCACTGGGGGGCTTCTTTAAAAGACTTGTATATGTTGATACAAATTATATACTCTGTAAAATACAACATGCAATATTTCAACATTAAAACAAATGATGCAAAAAAACTGAATTTTCAAGAGATTATTTAAAACACTTGTGGGCAAATATTACTGCAATGGTTATGAAGTATACCTTCTTATCTAGGGTATTTATTTATATTTTGTTAATCATTATACTTAACAAATGTTAACACTTATATTTAAATGAGCAATAAAAAAGAGATGATCAAATAAGCATTAGAGTTTCATAACATTACATACAGTCTTTCTACTACGAAGGACCACTGCTAGTCACAGTAGCCAATTACTAATTGGCTACTGTTCCAGTCACCACACAAAAAAGAAATGATCACTGCCTGACACTTGTTCACTCTTAACTCTTAATAGACCAATAAATGTACACATATTAAAAGAGAAAAATCTGCACTTGGAAAAAATTCTTTAGTTTATTTAGGTTGTTTGTTGACATATTATTCCCTTATATAGCCATGCTGATGACACAGGTTTGATCTCCAGCTACATGAGTATTATTTACTGTAGTTCCTCCTATACTTTTGCTGCAATCTAGTTCAAACAAATGCTTTATGATCATTTGCTAGTAGCCACTCACACAAGAATTGCAAAGCCTTTTTAAACTTTTACTGTCATTACTTTATTACTCTCTCCATATACATGTAAAATGAATTGTGGACAGGAACATAACTGCTACACTTTGGACTCAGAACTAATTATACAAGGCAAGGTTCATATGTTATTTGTTTTCAATGCATGTTTATATTAGAAACAAATTTCATGTGACATACAGTTTCTGCTAGTAATGTGAACAGTGTTTATAGTCTAAAAGTAAAACGTCACCCATAGCATTTGAAATTCTATCCAAAAATGTATTTCTTAAGATAGACACTTCTTTGTTTACTGCAAAATTTTCTCTAACTTCAAATTTGTTGAAACGCTAGCATATTAAATCCTAAATTATCATGTTAAATTCATCACCTTCATAAAATTATATGTTATATTTTTCACAGTAAAATGAGAAGAAACTACAGTCAATTGCCTCCATTCATCACACGAACCCCAAAACAAAAAAAAGTGATTTTATCTACATCAGACTGGCCAGCAGTTTCTGTCTCTACCAGTAAACTAGCTTTTGAAACAGACTCTTACTGGTATTTATCTGTTAAAAGAAATATTTATAAACCTGTCAACAGCCTATAAACAATTGCTTTATCTTTGTTTAATAACTCATGTTTTACTGAATGAACTAAGGAATTTCAAGGACTTAATATAATATAAAATCTTTGAAAGTAGGAGCCAGTGTATTAAAATGTGGAAGGCAAGTAGATGAGCTTGTATCAGTACACTAGTGTTTTCAAAACTGGGATAAACAATGCTCACACACTACAAATCAAGAAAGGAAATAAAATAATCAGGATTGTCATGAGGTGGATGACAAATAAACAATATCATGAAAGAAAATAACTTTTTAAAGTTTACACTACACTGATATAGTTCATTGTGATTAAAAGAACAGTTTAAAAATCTTAGTAAAAAATTACTGGGGGAAAAAAAAGAGCTTGGATCCAATGCATCACTTTCATTTTTAAAATATGTTCAATATAAAAATTGACAAAATCTGTTCACTTAGAACCTTTTGAGTGAAACTGAAATATCATAACCAAATAAAAATACTGATTTCCAGAACAGTAACAAGGTTCAATATCTGTAGTAAATGTAACAAAAATATTCTCCCAACCTTACCTGTTCAAAAACACAATTCAAAAGGTACATACAGCATATAGATTCACACTCATACAGTGTGAATTTCTTTACAACAAAACTTCCCCCAGCAGCTAACACATGAAGTGCAAGTATCACTTCAGCAAAATTAAGTGGTGCCACTAAACGTTCCTGCTCTCCTGGATGAAAAGAACAATCAATGCTGCCATCTGCTGTCACCTGGTAATTTAGTATTTAGATAATGTTCAAACAGTAGTAGTATTTGTCAAAAATTCATCCAAATATATTTTTTACATCTTTAAAAACAACAATTCTACAGTATTATATATAAGATTACCTTCTTAAACATATAGTTCGATGTGGTTTGTTTCTTTTCAATTACATTATTTACACATCGTGTAAGGACAGAACTATATTTTTTAAGTATGTAACACATACTGGTTTAATATGTACAGCGACATACAACTGTTTAATATTTTTGTACTCTCTTTGTTTTCATATAATTTGAGGACTCTTTGATGCAAGCAGTTTTTTGTTTCATATACATAGATATGTACTATATACTAACCTAACTGATACTAGGGGTGTGAAGTTGCATTCTTTAATAACCTTGATGAACCATAAAATTATTTTGATGAAGCTTTAAAGGACACAGATCAAAGACTGATATAATGTAGAAAAATATCTATTCAATACATTAATGGTACAATACATAATGTTATATGGATTAACCCCCCCCCCCCCAATATTATTTCCATACTGTCATGACCTTTAGAACCTTGGTACCCCTGTTTACATCTGTAATATTTCAAACCACAAACAAGAGGTGGTATATAAAGCAAATAATACATATTGAACTTCAATATGACTAACATACAGCTTTAGTAACTATATGACTAATATGCAGCTTTAGTAACTATATGACTAATATGCAGCTGTCATATAGTTACTAAACTAACATACAGCTTTAGTAACTATATGACCACCATACAGCTTTAGTAACTATATGACCACCATACAGCTTTAGTAACTATATGACTAACATTAATCTTCTCTCATGATTTTGAAAAGTTACTCTTATATCAAATTATACAATTATACAGTACATATTATTGTATTAATGCATCTCCCACTTGTTTGAATTTATATGATACAGAAACACAGTGTAACACGCAGTGACATCCCTTACAAAACAAACAAAAATGCTGCAAGATGTTTCCATTACTCATGGTTATTATTGCTATTTGAATATATCAAGCATTTCTAGCTTCTTGTAGGTTTATAGTACTCATCCTTTCTTATGTACATGTACAGGTTTCATATCAACTGTGGTGGAGAAAGCCATTAAGTTTATTCCAATCTACCTTTGGTTTTTGTCATTCTCAAAGTGAATAATACCGGTTACTTCCCAGGAAGAATACTGCTTATGATTACACATTCTATAAGAATGTCAACATCAGTGTCCTTCAATGGTTATTTAGGCAATATCTAAAGGTTACAGCTCAACCTATGTTGCAATGAGAATTACCAGCCATGTGATTAGTACCGGTCACTACAAGTAACTGCAAGGTTTCTAGCATGCTAAGAAACATCATATTTATTTAGTCTAATCTGGAACTTTATCTTCAGTTATTCATTATATTCTGAAATATCATCCAGAATTGGTTTAGTAGGAAGAGATAAAGAATTTAACAACAGATATGCATCCAGTCAGTGAAATGGTCCAGCACATTTGTTACTCAAACAAGTACATATTTTGCTTGTGTTTAGTATCATAATAAAGATTGTACATTTTGTTTTACACTTCTTTTTCAGTATCATTACTTCATTTTACACTGATTCAGTCAATAAGAGGTTTAATATTACTCAGTAAATGAGATCTTAACATACCTCCAATAAGTCTATACACTACAGCTCTAAAGTTAATAGTTTCACCTGGATTTACCACTTAAAACATATTCTATTATTTTCTCACATATTAAATTCTCCTGGAATGTTTTGCAACAATATTCTATCACACATAATGTACACTACAATTATTGATGACAAAGTCCAAAGATTAACAGTTAACAGGGAACTTTCTGTTACAGATACTGGATACTACAAGTACTGTGGTCTTATGATAAAGTCCAAAGATTAACAACATGAAAATTTCTATCACATATAACATATTCTACAAGTAATGAAACAAAAAACTTTTATTTTGATAAATATATTTTAAAATAAATATAGCCAACTTCAAAACTATTATGCATAGCAGAAAACTGAATATCATTGAAAACAAGTTCATCATTTATTTAAATAACATTTGGAGAGTTTACCATATGAAAGAGTCCTTTCATCTCAGTGATTTCAAGTAGATCATCTAAAAATCCTTGATTCATTACATTCCCTGTGTTGTCCTTACCAAAAACCCAGTTTCTCAAAGTTGGAAAGATAAAGCGATCATCAAATATTGTTGTATCAGATCCATTTCCTTCATAATACGGATTCAGAGTATTTGCTGTCCATTTTAACTATATTTATATTAAAAAATGAACATACATTAGTTTCATTGGTTAAAAAACTACATCTATTAAACATTTATATAAAATTACACTTTGGTAATTTTGTATAAGATAATCACTAAATTTTTCAATACAAAAATTTCTCACTGTGCCAACATTAACAGTTCTCTTGTTTATTTTTGATTGAATAAAAACATTAATACAGTAAGTTAAGCAATGGAAATAAACATTTAAAATTTTCTTTATTTTGGTCAAAGTTTCTTCACAAGGATAATTCTTTAGTCAAATGTGATTAAGCCTAAAATGCATGGACATCCAGTCACTAATATTGTTTTGTTCAAAACTAATTATTATTTTTAAACATTTTTTCTCATTCTTTATAAATTTCTGAATCTGGAACTTAAAGAAATGCTTTAAAATGACAAAGCAAGTAAGAACAATCAACGCTATATTACAATGATATCCCATGTATCATTGACAATATGAACATAAAACCTTAACATAACATGTTTTAAAACTAGTAAAGCACATGATAAACCCCATTATTGAAATATCAAATGGTCCCTTATTGTCCATGACTTATGTTACACATCACTAATTGCCTGATATGACATGGCAATAATTAAGCTTTTCTGTTGTCCTCTCAAATATTTGTTAACGATATGTTAAGAGTTTTAATAAGTAAACTGTATTTTAACCATTATTAATTTTTAAAAAAATTCAAATTTGAGTTTCCTTTCTGAAACGGTTCTCATTAACACTAATTATTTTTAAAACAATATTATACATTTACTACATATGGTAGAAGTATTACTATGGCAGAAATGTCATCAAATGCTGAACCTGGCCATAAAACAACTGGCAAGTTAACTCCCATGCTTAAACAATTTTGACCAACTTAAAAATATGAAATTAGAAAAAGTAAAATATAATTTCAAATTATAAACTAATTAAGTTTAAAGAAACACATATAACATAAAAATACACCCATGGGTAAAACTATCATACACACATTAAAGAAAAACATAGTCTAGTAAAAATAATTTAAACCTTTCCAGAGTACTTATTTTGAAGATTATGTGGATCAATTAATATTGTTGTATTTCAATACAGCTACCTCTGTAAACTTTTCTTCTGACTGAAGAAAATGATTTAGGGATGTTATGAAAGCACCAGGAGCTTCACAAAGATGTAAAGTTCGCAACATCAAAGTATCTGGGACAACTGGATAGCTCTTAAGAATTTCATAGAATTTACACCAAGCCTGGGTTAATAGTTCTGGTCGAGCTCGTTTTCTCACTGCAGAAATAATGTTTCCAGCTTTGTTGGTGTATGTTGTATGTTGATGCCAGTCATGAAGAATTTTACCTTCCAACAAGTCTTTGGTAGCATTTAACTTGTCCTTCAGATTCATAAGTTCTGGTATACTCCAAAGTGGTTTCTTAAAACACACATCTAGAGATGGAAGAACCCATTTTGGTCTTTCACTTCTGAATTGAAATTTCTTTTCAAATAAATGTCTTGCATCATCAGAAAATTTTGTATTCATTGTACCTGTTGGATTTCAGCTGTTAGAGAAAAAATAATGTTGCACGTAAGGACAAGTCTAGATTATAGCATAACCATGTTTGTAATGTTTATAACAAGCTCTACCACTGTTAAAGAAAATACAATGTTGAATGTTAACGACAAGTCCAGATTATAACATGATCTTGTTTTAAGATGGACTTGTTCCTATCATGCAACATATCTGTATTGTTTATAAGAAGCACTACCAGAATAATATTCATTTAAGAGTAACCTCTTAAACTTTTACTTGCACATTACAGATATGGAAATAAATATACTTTCTGCTTCATCTGACAAAGAAGAAATATTTCATATAAAATAAATTAGCTCTATAACTACCATGTTGATGAAAAATTATTAAACTCACCATAGTTGTCCCTGATCTGCTTATAAATATTCTATTCTAAAAAAATATTAATACTATACACCAAGTTAATTACATGTCTAACCCCTCCCCCCAAAAAAAAACAGCAACAAAAAACAATCAAATACTTGAGTACATATTTAACAAAATTAATTCCTAAAATTCAAATGGATTTTCGCAGTCACTCTCACAGGTGCATATGTAATATTTTAACAACACTAAACAACAGAATCAAACTATCTATTACTATTAGTATTATTATTACCTCCGAATTTTTGCTATTATTAAAGTACATGAAATAAATCTTTTTCATTTCACATTCATGCTCTCAAAACTAAAACCTTTAGTAATAGTTAGTTTTACACAGACCTTAGTTAGTTAGTAAATAACATTAACAATAAACTACGAAACCCCAAATAAATTATTTTATATTTCAACTTTCAAGCACCTGAATCCAACAATTCTTACTTCACACCTCTATTTCTAACAACAACGAACACATGAATAAAGTAATTTATATTTCACACCCCTAACATAAACATACTGTAATTTCCTGTGTCTTCTTGATAATAATAGTTGGTTTTCTCTAGTCTTCTTAACTGTGACAGTGGGAAACTGGATCACATATAATGATGTCAGCTAAATACATGGTTTTGGTTTCGGTTTTGGTTTCGTTGTTTACTTACGTCCTCATATACGAATTAAAAATTGCAAATTCAACTTGGATTTTACTAAACTGACAAAGTAATGTAAGTCACAACAGCCGTTACTTTTTCAAAAAGAATAAAAAACATGTTTTAGAATTGTTGTTCTTGCCGTTATTTTTGGGATTACATCATCAGATTGCAAATAAATGTTTTGCAAAATACTTGCTCAGTCAACACCTCCCCTCTTCCCAATCAAATGTGCTATGGTTGTGAAGAAGTGGTAAATAAAGCTCATGTGAACAAGCGAAATATTGCCAAAGGATGGCGCTATAATCTTTTATTCAACGTTATATTATATTACACTAAAATAAAATAATTATGTTTACGGAAGTGAATTTTATATGATTTCTTTCGTCTTAAAATATAAACTCATATTATTAATAAAGACGTAACCAAGATTCAAAATACAAATGTAATGAGCTGTAAACAAAGTAAATTATAAATAAAGATTTAATGATAAATTAAGAAAATTTCGACAGCTGAGGCTGTTTCTTAAGATCTTTTGATTATAGATATCTCGTATTTGTTTGTTTGTTTGTAATTAACTACAAAGCTACACAATGGGCTATCTGTGCTCTGCCCACCATATCGAAACTCGGATTCTAGCGTTGTAAGTCCGCAGACATACCGCTGTGCCACTGGGGGGCGATATCACGTAAGACAGTCATACAACACTCAAGAACCGAATCAATAGTCAAAGAGGGAGATAGGTAGAGGTCCATTTGTACCTGATTATTCCATGTTACATGACCAAACAATGACCAAATGAAAGCAAAAAAGAAATAGCTTTTTTTTTTCATCTTTTCGTTACTAGAGGCTGGCTCGCTGTATCTCTAAACTGCGGCGGACCACTAAAATACTATGATGACGAAAAACATTACGATTTTCTGTCAACTTTTGTTTGTTTGTTCTCGTGGCTATGATGGACAGTGGTTGAGATACATTGTGGTAAGAGACTAAATACGACATCCACGTTCTATTTCTATTTGCCTTTGTGTGCTAGTCGGGCGCCATCTTACTGTGGTCATTCCTCTCATTGCAACCTAGTTATGGTACATAAATATAACAAAGTAAAGAGTAAATATACAACAATATTATGTTCAAACTGAAATAATATTCCACAACTTTGATAAGACATCTACTAAGAATATAACGCACTACATTCGTATGGTAAACATAGTTTATAATCGTACAAGGATCTAAAATAATAAGAATAAACATTACTATGAATAACAATCTTCTCTTTCTGTGCGGTAGCATGTAGAATTGCTGTCAGCTATATTTTCAGTGTTTTAATTTAGATGCTAGCAAGAAGGCGCTTTGGGTTAAAACTTAATAAATTCGACTAAGATCTAGATGTATACGTTATTATAAATACGAGGCCTGTGAGAAAAGTATCCAACCTTATTTTTTTTTGCGATAACCTGATGGATTTGAATCAAGCGTGCTTGCATGAGCCGACCTTGAATCTTCGTGCGCATGCGTGAATTTTTTCCCGCTTGTTGATTGCGTCAGTTGTTGGCAAGCCGCCATTGAGTGAGGTAGTGTGTAGTGCTCTCGTCGGTTTTTCATTGCAAGGAAAATAACGGAACGACTGGAGCAGCGCTACTGCATCAAATTTTGCCAGAAAATGGGCGACAGCCAGGTGGAAACCATTCGGAAGATTCAGACGGCTTTCGGTAACGATGCTATGGGCATCACACAGATTAAGGAGTGGTACAACCAGTTTAAAGACGGCTGCACAACGGTGGAGAGCGAGCCACTCTCCGGTCGGCCATCAACATGCCGAAATGACCAGGTCATTGCCAAAGTGAACGCTATGGTGATGCGGGACCGTCGTGTGACTATCCGAGAAATTGCGGAAGAGGTGGGCATCAGCACTTTTTCGGCACATTTCATTATGACCGAAGATTTGGCTATGAAGAGAGTGGCGGCGAAATTCGTGCCGAAGCTGCTTACGGCAGAGCAAAAGGAACTTCGTGTTGAAGTCTCACAGGACATGCTGGACTCCACAAACAGTGACCCCGACTTCATGAACACCATAATCACTGGTGACGAGTCTTGGCCAAACTCAAGAGGCCATTGAAAGGAGCGCGATTTCAGACAAGAGAGGACATTATGGCTGCAACGACAGCCGAGCTAAA